CACTATATACGGATTGTGCGATTGGGATCGTGAAGATGAGTAGTTAGTATAGGCAATTAATCTGTATAACTCCAAGCCAATCAAGCCAATCAATCAAGCCTCAAGCTAGTACTGCAAACAAGCTAATTAATCAAGCCTTTTGACAAAATGTTCAAGCCTCAAGTCAAGCCAGAGGCTGAGGCTTGATCGGCTTGATTGTTGACAAGTCTGCAAGTCGCTCCTCGGAATCCTGTTCGTTATGAGGTGCTATCCGTCCGATCCGCTCTCTTACAACCAATCGTCTGTCCCACGGCGTACCATCCTCAGTCGTCTTGTCAGACGCGGTCAACATTGTAAAAGATTGGGTATAGACAACATCTTTTTCTAGAGCAGTCTTTTGACCAGCTGATCTTTCGTACTGTGATCGAGACTCTATATCAAGTCAGTGTCCTGTACAAACCGTTTAGAGCCATCATGAGTGCCGCCACGCCAGCATCACTCAAATGGAAAGAAGTGAACATACGAGCTAGAAATGTGTCTGGATGTCCCTCAATAACAGGGGAAAGTACTCTGATCTTCTGTAGTTGGCGATATTCTGCCCCATCATGCTCTTTCTCCTTATGCCATGAGAGAAGGGACGCATCTGTCCAACATCTTTTGCATAAATCGCACTCGTAACGGTTGAAGTTCTGTGACATGTCAGTTTCTTGTGCCAGATAACAAGTATTGAGCGGATTGCAACCACAAGAGCGTTTTTGGGAGGAGTGTCGGTAACTTACGAGCTGGGTGGGAATTACGCGGTCCTCAAAGGCCGGCGTTTTCGTGTTCGTGTCGGCGCTCGCTTCTAAACAAGTAATAGAAAAGGACGTGGCACGGCGACGAGGACTGCATTGTTCAGGCGTAAAGTGCATGAATCGAGACCTGATCCACGATGACAGGGACCTGGGGCGGCCGCAGCATCCTGTATCTTCTCCGTGTTCTGTTTCGTGTCTTCGGAAAGGCATGGCAAAATTCATTTCAATCTTTCTCACAAGTCGAAAGGTCCATACAAATACAAGGGGAGTCAGCATTCGAAAAACTATTTGAAGTCGTTCTCGGCGTGTACTTCCTTGGCTGCTTCTTACATTTGTATTCTAAGGCCAATCCCTACATAACGCAAATCTTGTTGTGCCGCAACCAACCAGTTAGCTCGCGAGAACCGTGAAGAAGTCCGTCGTTCTCATAAGCTGATTGGTGAGCTGCGGCATACAAGGATGTGCGCCACACAGCGATGGACCTTAGGATGCCTATCTAAGTTGCTTTTTCAGCACTTTACTTTTTACCTTTGTAATTACTTTCTTACTTGCTGCTCCAGTTGCCTCTTAGAATGAAAATCGCACTTGACGTTTCTGTTTCAGAAGTCGCTTGTCTTCTGTTCATAGGTGGGATGATGCAGCCACATATATGTTGCATGACGATGTGCCCCTCCGTCGGATAACACACCCCTACACGCAACCATCTTTGCGTACTGATAACACACCGCTACAACACTTTAAGATTTCGCCGTCTACAGGAACTGACACTGGCTACAATTCATCTTTTCTAAGAGATTCTGACTGTGATTGACATCACCTAGATGCCATGGTGTCTTCAGCAGCATCAAACCGTGCAGCAGAGCATCCCTTCGCCATGGTCACTGTCACAACTACCATTACCATTGCAATCCACAAGCAAGTACGAAGACACGCAATCCTTTGTCACCAGAGCGGAAAAAGAAAAGCTGTGTATTACTAAAGCGATTACGAAAATGCTTACATTTCTATTACGTCACCCGTCCGCTCTAGGCTTATCAAAGCTAGTTCCATTGGCCGACTGATCGTCGTCTCCCGCCACTGTCGCCAGAGCGAAGTCGCCGATAGCAGGGGTCATGTTACCACCCGGTATAAGCCTACAGCTCAGTAATGGTACGTGCGAATGCGATTCCATATCGCCTTAGCTTCTAGGTTGAAGCATCACACCAGCTCTAGGCTTGTAGTTAGGCCTAGCATATGGTTGAAGTCTTTCACAGCAATATAGAGATGGACCTCGTTGGTCTGATAATCTTCAAGATCCTGAATGGCCGCTACCGTTCATTCAAGAGGTGCAGCGCCAGCGGATGTCAGATTGACGATGATTGTACGCACTTTTGTGCGATACATGGCGACGATCTTTTTGTATACGCCTGTCGCACAGTGAAGTGCGGGTACTGTAGACAAAGTGTTTGTGTTGGAAATGTTAGTAGCCTCGTAGCTGAGCTTATATAGGGTTCGTCGCACGGCGTTATTAGTAACAAGGTCATCGACAGTGCTTGCTCTGCGACATATCTCTCACAGTCGAGGATCGTAGGAGCATACGCCCCAAACAGATTCAGCAAATGAGGTCTTCGGGTACCATCCAGCCGTGTTTTCGAAACGAGCTAACTTCATTCGATACAAGCGTCTCTGTCTTGTCGAAGCTGCGCCAGCCACTCCTCGCAGCTGGCTTGCTTGCTTATCAGCTCCCTGAATATCCGCTCAAGCAATGACCTCGAGATGCTCGCCGGTGTTGAGTAGCGATGTCGCTCCTTATATCGTTCAAACAAGGTAGTGAGCTGTATGCACTTTCGATGCTTGAGTCTGTTGCTGATCAGGCTACCCAGGCGCGAGCGCATTCTCATTGGAGTGAAACAACAAAGGTGTTCCCGGAAAATATATCCGTACACGCAGGTACGGAACGTTTGCTATACTGATAAGAGTCAGAAGATCCGCTCGGCGGTTGCATCTTATGTAGATGACACATTGTTTTCGCGCTAGCTTGCTATTCCACCATGGCTTCCTTCCCGTCTACTACAGGTTCAGTCAAGCGAGCCTGCGATAGGTACATCTCGTCAGCCTACTTCCAGATATCTTTGTGCTCATTTTGACGAATCACAGCTGTCATCGAAGGAAGGTCAAGTGCATCGCCGGAGGCACTGCTCCTTGTAAGAGCTGCATCTCCGCTGGACTTGCCTGTACCTACCATGCCATACCCCAGAAGAAAGGGCCTAAAGGCAGCCGCGCTAAAGTTCTATCGGAGCTTCGCGAAACTCAGCGTGATGCTGAGCTTGCTACCAGATCTTCGAGCGGCCTTGGCTTCGATACACAGCAGCTCTCTACCACTTTGGCTCGCAACAAAAACCTATTGGCACCTGCTTTCGTCGGAATTGCGTAGGCTACTTCTTCACCCACCTCTACCCTTTCGAGCCTATCTTGCACCCTCAAAGACTGCAGGAAGCGGTGGTTGCCATGGACCAGTCTGCTGGGGCGTATTGCATGATTGCAGCACTATGCGCGTACGTCATAATTCGGGCGAACTACAGACCTCAGGTCATTGTGCTACCGCGTCAGGAAATGGCTCACATGCCGAGCATTGAGATCGGTCGTGTTCTGCTAGATAAGTCGGTCCGCATTCGAAAAGGCTACGACGACCGCGAGAATCCAACACATACAAGTATGCTTACCGTTTGGTTATACAGTGGCTATTTCTGGGAACTGGGTCGCGAGAACACAGCATGGACATATCTTCGTGAAGCCACAACGCAAGCGCAGTTGTTGTCTATGCACGATGAGGAAACCTACAAGCATGAGGTTCTGGATGCAGCACAGAAGCGGGTGCTATACTGGCTTCTTTTCATATCTGAAAGGTATCGTGCAATACTTCAAACAGGAGGTTCACCTCGCGCTCTCACTAATCGCTGACAGAACTTATGCATTGCACAAGAACCGACCAATTTCCTTGCATCCAACTATACGTTCACCATTGCCTGATGAGGTTTCCTCTGATCGACCTATCGCTGTGGGACTCCAAGTCATGATCAATATGTTTTCCATCGTCGATGATACCTTTGTCAATCTGTGGAATCGAGTGGGCGATAGTCGTGCAAGCGACGTGTGGGTCACACAGGTGCAGGCCCAGCTCTCAGAAGCTGTCCCGGAGTTTATCGAGTGCACCAAAGTGCAGGAAGTACAGATTCGCATGACTCAGCAATGGCTGCGGTCACTGGTATGGCGACTAAGCACTCGTCAGGGCCCAATTGGCAATGCTTCCTGCAACGATCCGCTGCTACTCGAGCATTCGATGGAGATAGCTAGAGACCTCCTCCTGATATCGAACCAGTTCCCCCAGGAGATGATGGTGGTACATGGCACAGGACTGGTGAGTACGATTAGCTTTCCGTTGGTATCATCAAGTCTCAGTCTTGGGATTGATGACAACTCCATCTCTTCCCCTCTTTCTGTGCAATAATCTGTGTTTTGATTCACTAGCATCAACTTCTCATCATCAGCAGATAGCATTGATCACCTATGTTTCAATGCTTAATCAGCCAAGCTCCCCTTTAAGGCCCTGCACATGCAACCATTCGATATTGTACTATACCCGCTATATACGGTGTTAGCTGACAGTGCTGCAGGTCGAGAAAATATTCGACGTCGCTTGTTGCCTGATTGATGTACTGGCCTGCACGTCTCTGTCGGCAGCCATATTTTAAGTCGGCTGTTACGACCATTTGCTTCGGATTTTGACTTTGATAAAGACTCTTCCGGAAGGGCAGTCCCGGTATCTCCCCGTTCTTCTGGACAAGCTGTCCAGACTCGTACTGGGTCCTTCACTGTCGTTGTCATCATACACTCCCGAGATGGTCCTGACAGTGGTGCCTTGGCCTCAAGCTGCTGGGACACCTGCAAATGACACCAGTAATTACTTGGCCTGTCCTGCCGAAACTCCGCCCCTAGACCCACCCAGCGACCTGTTCCATCGACGTGTAAGCCAAGAATTTGGGCAGGCTTCTTCCAGCACAACTTTACGTTCTGTACCCCATTCAGGTACAGTCCAAGTCAACGGCCCATTGCTTCGTTACGCTCCACACAAGAAAACATATTTGCATGCTTATGGTCGTAGTGCCGAAGACGAGTCTGCGACAAACAGCTTCCCCAATAATCTGGTTTCACCTCCGCTTCTACAACCGTAACTAGCAAGATATTCGAGCCACCTACTGCAAAATGTACACAGCCATACGCGGATCCAACAGATGGACCAGGATACTATGGTACAGGATCATAGTCACCCACGCTCACAGGTAAATCTAGTATAGTCAGAGTAGTGTGAGAGAAACTGAACAAACTGAACAAACTGAACAAACTGAACAAACTGAACAAACTGAACAAACTGAACAAACTGAACAAACTGAACAAACTG